ATGGCGTTTTGAGGCAGATCAGTAAAAATTGATGTTAAATTTGAACTTTAAATCTCAAGGGGCAAAGAAAGCAGCTCAAGATTTAATTCTTTAATGTCTGTTCACAAAAGAAATGATCATTAGTGGTGGAGGCACCTGAACATGTTCTAGTTATGACTATCTAGGTGGCTTCCTAACAGTTACCCCCAGCCCCCAGCAGAGTTTAAAACAGGGGACGGGTGGCTCAGTGGTTGATGTGTCGTCTCATGCACCACAGAGTTTCGGGTTCAATCCCTGGTTGGGGTGGGGAGTGGGGCAGTCAATCTATGTTTCTCTCGCTCTCTCTCGCTCTCTCTCTCTCTCTCTCCTTCTCTCTTTCTTATCAGTGAACATACCCTTGGGAGAGGATAATAATAATAATAATAATAATAATAATAATAAGTGTAAACTGTGCTCTGGGGGCCAATCAGTTCTGCCTGTTTTTATATGGCCCTAAACTCAGGATGGTTCTTACATTTGAACCCTAATTAAATGAAATGGCATTTCTCCCCAAAAGAATTCCATTTTTATTATAGAAGGCCCATGTTTTGAAAATTGTCCTCAGTGATTATTAGCATTTTGAATAATGTTAATAAGGTTGCGGAAATGTTTGTTACATAAGTACCCCCTTGGCCTGCAAAACCTAAAGTACTTATGACCTGGCACTTTACAGAAAACATTTGCTAATCCCTGGGGTCAAACACAGGGTGAGCCGGCCTGCTCTCCGCCAAGCGCTGGCCTTGATAAGTCAGGGTGTACAGGGCCCTGTGCCAAGCCTCTCACGTTTATTAGCTTGCTCCGTTGTCACAGCCGCCCTGAGCAGTAAACGCCCTCAGCGTCCCCATTGTACAGATGAGGGAACTACCAGCGAGGTTAAGATCTTTCCCTGAAGTCACACAGCTGGTTCCAAAACTGTGCTAGAGCTTCGGCAAAGAGAACGGGAAAATTCTACCCTGTACTCCTCAGCTGGGTGAAGAATGTGGCAGGTGGGATGTGCCTTTTCAGCTCTAGTAATCCAGTATTTAAAAAAGCAAGACATGTGCTCAAACACTTAAAGGAAATACATGGTTACGGTTACGTAAGATGTACGTGGCAAGGCTTCGGTAGTTTAGAGAAATAACAATAATAGAAGTAATAATTAAAAAAATGATATTAATTGTTTACGGCATGTTTACTATGTTCC